CTCAAAAGAAGGTAGCCTTTGGAAGGCAGACGTGCAGATGTCATGTGCATCTGAATCCCCACCAGAAGACAGACGTGTTCTTTTTTTGCTTCGAATGGTTGAGAATGGTTCAACGTTCTTTGAGGTTCCAAGCGCCGGTGGTGAATTCGACATCTTCGTCCTTCGTGGTCGAAGAAACTCTGATTCTTTCCTCCCCAAGGCGATGACCACGTGCTCACGCTGTGGGCATTCCTTTGCGCCAGATGCGTCGGGGCAGCCTGGGAGACGGCCGAACCGGGAGGTGGCGCCAAATCTTTGTCTTCTTACACTTCTAGGGTTCATATGAGCGTCGTTCAAAAACCCACATCTACTTTTGAAACAACTTTCTAAGACTGATGACTGATTTTGAACAACCCCCATATGGCTTCCATATAGAGGTGGAAAGATCCGGCATGGCCTATCAATGGGATTCATGTCCGAGATCTTAGGTGTCCAAATCCCTTCACTTTGCACTCCAAAAGCAATTGGCCCGCACCACAGCAATCAAACTTGCGTGCTTTACCAGTCCGTCTGGTCCGCAGCTCGTTGAGCAGGTGGGGAGCTTAAATGGCGAAATAAACCCGATAAATCGCCAGGTCTTGTGAGATGCTCATTTTGTGCTCACCAGGTCCAGATGTTGGTGTGTTTTTAAATCTTTTTTGTAAAGCCGAGTGCAGCTGGGTCTGTTGAACGGCTTGTGGACGGCTCACAAACGTGTTGCCCACCCCACCGTCTCTCCGCGCCTGGGCGTCGGATGCCGGATGTCGTCCTGAGGCATTTGTGTCGCTACTGTGGCCAGAAGCGGGGTGAAGCGACTGAGACGCAACGCGTACGTCGACGACGTCGTCTCCGGACCGACGTCGCGTTCGGAGGTATCCACATGAGTCATGTCTACTATAATACGGAGGCTGCTTATTGATTGGAGGTTAGGGGTGTCTGTGATCCACTTACAAACACCACCCCTTTGTGACTCCCGGCGGGAGCCTCCCTTCTTCGTTATCGGAGAACATGTCCAAAAGATGGGATGGGCCCATGGGCCGCCGGGATTCGATGGAGAACACCCTCAAAACATCTCAAAGCATCTCAAAGCTGCTGAGATCTCGAACGGAGGCCTCACTTCATAGCTTGGTGCTTGTACCAGCTAAAACGGCTTGTCCAACGGCGTAAGAGAAGTGCAACACAAAGTGCAAAGTGTTTTACAATCGTATTCGTTGAGATTCTGAGCCTCACTCAGATCATATCGCATGCGGTTGCTTCAGCGAGCAAGATGCAGACAAGTGAACTGAAATGTTCGCGGGTTCCTTGAAGAATGTGAGAGTTGAGTACAGATCAAACGATGTTTACTTGTTTGCATTAAAATTCATGAAACTTCTGTAGCTCAGTTGTCTCAGTTTCAGGTGACTCCTACTCCTCTTCGTACTGCCTGCAGCACACCAACCGCTGGCGATGACACACCAGCTGCTGGCGTGTCAAGCCCCAAGATGCAGCAGAGGAACCTTTGGTGACCAGTTTCAGGGCGACGAACACTTTCAGCGAACGTTTACACCGGTGGCGCAAGATCGATCTTTTGCTGGATCTCCATCGATGCTTCGGAGATGTTGGGTGCAAAAGGAAGTCAGCAGCCCTACAGAATCCTACAGAGGTAGCCAGTGACCGGGACCATAGGACCCGAGCTACCAGGGGGTACCGAACGTTCGGATCGTCGAACGCTTCGGGTTCTGACCCACCTCTGCTGGGTTTGTCCCGAGGCCTTCGGAGTTCTGCCGCACGGCGCCACCAAGGACCCCAATTGGATGCAGAAAATTTGTTGGATGATGTTGGATGGATCTGTTTGTTGGATACGGTGGAGGGACAAATGGTTAGAGAAATCAATTGAACTTGGAATCACTTTCACAGGTTCTGAGTTCTGAACAGATGTTCAAAGAACCCGAAGACTCGGTCACCTTTTTTTTGTGACTTGCGTTTACTCCCTGTGAGACCTAGTTCAGTTGAAGTTGAAATCTGTGGAAACATACTTCAATAGACCCTCCATTTTTCTTGAAAATGAACACCTCAAAACGTTCGCAGGAGGACCACAACACCCAACGAACGGATTTTCAGACACCGACGAGTCTCAAGAGTGCAGGTTCGATCGACCAAAGATGTGGTGAGGCGTAGTGATCGGCGTCGAAGGCCTGACATGCAAGGGAGGAAGGCTGGGAGGAAAAGCGATCACAGCGGGGGATCAGCGGCTTTTGCCAAACCCAGACACTTCATGTATGGCCTACATACCCACATCGGGGTGGTTGAAACGGGGTCATAAACCGAAACGCATCGGGGTGGTCGGGCATGGAAGAAAGGGGGTGAAGCTTCTGCGCGCCAGTTTTGCCCAGCCCCGGGGAATACTCGGAAAAGGATGGGCACTCCTCGACGACCACAAACAGCGTTTGGATGTCAGTCTTCCCTTTCCAAAGGCGCCATGTGGGTTGATGTGGGTTGCCATGTTTCAAAGACGTAAGCTTGGTGGTGGTGGGTTGGACTGGATGGGCATCCACCTTGAATTGGGACTCTTTTGGAACCCCAACAAGGCCCATGGCAAGGATGGCAGGATTGATCCCCTTCGAAGGATCTCCTGAAGAGGAGTGTTCAGCAAGATGAGGTCTGCCGTCCGATGCCAGTTCGCCATCCGGCCATCCGGCACATGTTCTGGATGAAAGGGAGGAGCGTTTTTTCTGCGACCGCGTGACCTCGGAGGTCCCTACACCCAGCCGAAGCTGCACGCGCCGAGACGAGGCCCTTTTCGGCCAGGTTCCTGCGAAAGAAAGCAATCAATCTTCCCTGAAGGCCAGTACTTAGGCAGTCCATCTTTAACAGACATCGACAGCGGGTCAAAAAGCAGGACTCAAATGTCAAGGCACATGTCCCACCAAGGCACATCCCAAGGAACACTAGTGTTTTTTTCAAAGGCCGTATGACATTGCAGAACCTATCAGAACCTGGTTGGAGGTCAAGATCAAACATCATCCGTGTTCTGATGCTTGTAGCACATGGCAGCTTGAACGCGCCATGGTTAATTCGTGGCAGGACAAGTTCTTCACGGCTTCAATGGGGTGAGCAGTGACTTTGATGTTTGGATCCTTGGTTAATAACCACGGGACAGTGTTTGAATTAGCACACTTCTGGTGTTGACTTGTCTCAATCTGAACTGCTCTGAACTGCTGATCCATGTTCAGTTTGTTCTTTGGGGTTTGTCCACGTCGATCCAATCCAACAAGATGAAATGCCACTCGAAGAAGTCTTCTCAAGCAAAGCCTCAGGGCCTCAGGGTAGAACTCGCACGGACGCTACAGGCTCCCCACTCTCAGCCGCAGTCCGACAGTTCCACAGATCCGACTCCTCAGATCGACAGGATCGACGTAGACGACGTAGACACGGACCTGTCGCGTGTCGTCCTCAAATCTGCCCGACGCGGCGGGGTGCCGTTTCTGAGGGAAAAACAAACCAGCCGCTGACCGCTCTGCCAGCGTATTTTTTCCGCTCTCCCAAGCTCCAATGCCGTCGACGGTTTGGGAGCGCAGCAAATTGGACGTTTGGGAGGGTTGAACCAAAAGCCTTTAAGAAATGGAGGGGGCTGGAGTTGACCTTTGGTTCAGAAAGGAACAAAGTCCGATTCAGAAACCAAGAATCCGCGATTCAGAAATCAACATTCCGCGATTCAGCAACCAAAAAAACAACGATTCAGCAACCAAATTCACAGTAGGTTAGGTGGGGTGGTGGTATGGGGCTGGTGTAATTAGTAATGCTGGGAGATGGCAGCTGGGTACTGAATCACAGTAGGTTAGGTGGGGTGGTGGGATGGGGCTGGGGTAATAACGTTCCTGAAAGATGGCACCTGGGTACTGAATCACAGTAGGTTGGGTGGGGTGTTGTGGGGCAATAACGTTCCTGGGAGATGGCAGCTGGGTACTGAATCACAGTAGGATGGGTGGGGTGGGCTGGGGCAATAACGGTCCTGGCACATGTAGTGACCGTGCAAAACAAGGGCAGTTGGGTTCTGAATCACAGTAGGTTAGGTGGGGTGGTGGGATGGGGCTGGGGTAATAACGTTCCTGGGAGATGGCACCTGGGTACTGAATCACAGTAGGTTGAGTGGGGTGGTGGGATGGGGCTGGGGCAATAACGCTCGTGGGAGATGGCAGCTGGGTACTGAATCACAGTAGGTTGGGTGGGGTGGTGGGATGGGGCTGGGGCAA